CAAATATGAAAAATTATAAACTTTTATATGGTTGATAAGGTACATCAAGATCATAAGGTTTAAAAAGGTTCTAAACGGCGTTTATAAGGTTTTATAAGGTTTTTATAAGGTTTTTAAAAGGTTTACAAAGTTTTTATAAGGTTTTTAAATGATTTTGAAAAGGTTGTATAATCTATTTATGAAATATATATTTATAAATTTACACACATATAAAGATAATTTGTGTCTATAAATATAAGCTTATACATATTTTTTTGATAAATTTCAAATTTTATAGTGACTTTTTGATAAAATTAGAAAGAGGGGTATTTTAAAAAAGTGTTATTGGAAAAGGGGTATTTTTGAAATTCCCCATTTATTTATTATATCATACCAATTTGACATTTTATTTGTTTTCAATTAGATTAAATCATAAAATATAATCCATTTATTATTTAAAAATTGGTAATAAGTCGTTAAAATCATTTAAATGTGATATATCCACTTGTTATTTAGTTTTAATCTTAATACAAATTCTATATGTTTATAATCTCAAAATGTAGTTAATGATTTGATAAAACAATTATTTAATATTTGATAATAGTAATGATATGCAAATTCCCAATGGATGAAGATTTATTTTGTTAAGATTGTGTGAAATTATTAAGAAAATGAAGTTTAGAATAATCATAAGCTAACTGTTTGACCAAATAAAAAACCATTAACTAATTGAATTAATGATACATTTTATAGATTTCTTTTGTGCTTTAATTGCTAGATTGCTTTTTGAATATGAATATTTTTTATGTAAAAATAAGAAATTTATGTGATCTAAAATGTTTATTCGCATGATTTTAGCAAAAAAATATTTAATTATTGATTTGTTTAATTTTTATATATATTTAAAAATTATATATTTTTTTAAAATTTGATGATATGATCAGTTATGTATATATACTCTGTAGAATTTGATTAGTTGATTATTTCATATGCTAACATATTTTTTTTTATCTTTTTATTAATCTAAAAAAATGTTATCTTTGTTTTTTTAGATATATGATGATTTTGTTTTATTAGATTTCATCCTATATATATACTATTAATTTCGAAATTATATTAAAATATTAAATTAATATTAAATATTTTTATGTATATTCAAAATAGACATGTTTACATATATTTAATTTTGAAATTAATTGTCCATTTTTTATGGTAAAATATTATTATGATTTCCATAAATATAGATTATTTTTGTTTTTTTTTTTTTTTTGCTGTCAATAGTTCTGTTTGGCAACTGGAATATATTTCATGAAATTTTCTTTTTGAATTAGGGGGTGTTTGGCTTCAAGTTGTCCTTCCTAATTAATAGTATAGATGATTGAATAACATATAATTTTTGTTCGGATATCTAAATCCATTAAACTTCATGAACCATTAACCCCCCCCTAATAATGTTTTGAATTTCAATATCCAACATATTCTGTACTTTTAAAACTATTTCTTAACATACATTATTATAAAGACTTTTAGAATGATTATTTTAAATTTGTAATGTAGAATTTTTAATCATAAATATGTATTTACCATTGCGTCTGTTTATAGTAACTCTTTGAGTTATTGTCATACAATAGTTCATCCTTTTAAAATATGTTTGCTTTATCCCAACCATCGAAAAAAGCCTAACTATATACTTTCAAAAATCAGATAAAATTCAATGAGAGCAACACTTGTTATCGCTGCATAATCAAACATATGTGGCAATAACTTTTTTATTTTATTTTTTGTCATCAAATTTTTTTTTTTTTTGACATATGTGGCAATAACTATAGTCACAATTTAGTTCGTTAAATCAGGAAAGCACGAAAATCAGTGAAGCTGTAATAAAGCCCACAAGAGATGAAAGCACGAAAAGATAAAGAGAACGAAAGAGAGAGTCGCAGAGAGGTCAACAACTTCAGTGAATGTTGACACACACCAATAGTCACACCCACACGTGTGTTCAATCATCACACTTCATAAGTACATTTATTTATTTTATTTTAATACTCATTCCGTTTATATCTATATTATAAATTAAGTGTTGTTTTAAAATTTTAGTGAAAATTTAAAATTATAGTTTTATCTCCAGTTATTTAACATATTAACCAAGTAATATACTATAAAAAAATGTATGGATGGTTTCTTTTTTTTTTGGGTATTTTTTTTTTAAATATGGATGGTTGTCGAAGTTTACTATGAATTCAAAAAAAAAAAAATTCGCGATGCCAAAAACAAAAACCTTCATAAGATGGAAAAATTCGGTGATCGGTGGCGGAAGGAGTGTATAACCAATAGAATCAATACCCATGAATTTAAAATAAACCACCATTTTAGTTTTCATTTTTATCAAATAAGATTCGTTGTGGCTTTAAAATATTTCTATAGTCATATTTTGGTATATATCTCTATATCTAAAGCAATCATGTTTAAAAAAAATTTAATTTCCTATTTTGATTCACTGCCAAAAATACAGATTTGAGTGTCATTTCTGTGCACTGTTTTAAGCTTGAAAGTATTTCCTTGATTATAATAAAGTACCTTTCTCTAAGCACATAAAAACTAAGCTTTCTAAAATTTTAATTTCTACATGCAAAACATTTCATCAATGAAATTTACAGCTCATCAAAATAATATGCAGTTTAAAATCTAAAACTTTAGCCATAACCAATCTGTTATTTAGTAAACCAACTATTAAATCTCACTTATAAATTTTAACTATTAACTTTTAACTTTTAACTTTTAACACAATCTAATTACCTTTGTTTTGTTGATATTTAACTTTTCTTTTCTTTCATCTCGTCTTTTTTCTTCTTCTTTTTTAAATTTTAACTTTGAACTTTTTAACTTTTCACACAATCTAATTAACTTTGTTTTGTTGATATTTATTATTTTTTTTCTTTCATATGTCTTTTTTCTTCTTTTTTTGTGTGTGTTAGTGATGGTATTTTCCTTTCTTGTAAAATTATAATTTCTCAATTCTGTGTTTTTTTTTGCATTTCATAAGAATATTGTGATCCCATGCCTAATTAATTAGTAAAAAAATTGAGATACAAGAAATTTTATGGATTAATCATTATGTTTCATTAAACTCACTAATTAGTAAAACCAAAAATTTTGATCGTCGGCAATTTACAACAGTATTATGCTATGACACAGCGCAATACAAATGGCTTTGAAATATATTATGCTTTGAAGTAACTCTTTTGGTCACCATCATGTTTATTTTCATGCTAGGAGACAATAAAAGTGACAAATATGTAATGTTTTCCCAAATACTATCAGAACTCTTAAAAACAAAATATACACAGAGTTGGTATGCTTCTTTATTATTTTTCCTATGGTAAGTTCATTATCAATCTTCTTTTTTCTAATTCTCTGAACATGCTACACACTTGACTTTAGCTTTCTATATAAACACTCCCAAACACACCCTCCTAGTCTCAACTCAACCACATTCCCATAGCCATCTCTCTCTCTTTCTCTCACTCTATCCCTCCCTACTCTGTTTCAAAACAGAGCACACAGAACATAGTGAGATGGGAACAATGATGGTGATGATGGGTCTTCTTGTTATCCTCGTCTCTCTCTGTTCTGCTCTTCTCCGATGGAATCAGATGCGATATACCAAGAATGGTCTCCCTCCTGGAACCATGGGCTGGCCAATCTTTGGTGAAACCACCGAGTTCCTCAAACAAGGCCCTAACTTCATGAGAAACCAAAGACTCCGGTAATAAATAAAAAAACACATTCATATACTGAAATCAAGATTTTGTTTTTCCTCTTGTAACTAAGATAGACTCTACAGATATGGGAGTTTCTTCAAGTCTCATCTTCTTGGTTGTCCAACGTTAATCTCAATGGACTCAGAAGTAAACAGATACATTTTAAAGAACGAATCAAAAGGTTTGGTTCCTGGTTACCCACAATCTATGCTTGATATTCTTGGGACTTGTAACATGGCTGCGGTTCACGGTTCGAGCCACCGGCTTATGAGAGGCTCGCTTCTTTCTCTTATAAGCTCGACCATGATGAGAGATCACATCTTGCCTAAGGTCGATCACTTCATGAGAAGCTATCTTGGTCAGTGGAATGAGATTGAAGATATTGATATCCAAGATAAAACCAAACATGTATGTTTCTTTTTATCTTTCTCTATTTAATAACGTTTGGTATAATAATAAATTTTATAGTTTTATCAATTGATTCCTCTGTTACAGTTTCTGATAGGGACTGATAAACAAACTGATAATGTTATATGGATATGGGTACAATAGTTAATAACTGAGAATGTTTTGTCTTTCTTAATTATATCCGAGAATATTTGTCAGAATTTATTTATTTATTTTTTAAGATTATTTATTTATTATTATTTTTTTTTGGGTGGGTTTCTTGCAGATGGCATTTTTATCTTCACTGACACAAATAGCTGAAAATTTAAGAAAACCATTCGTTGAAGAGTTCAAAACTGAGTTCTTCAAGCTTGTTGTTGGAACTTTATCGGTTCCAATCGATCTCCCCGGCACGAATTATCGTTGCGGAATCCAAGTAAAATACTCGAATTCGACCTTAATAAAAATATATTAACGAGGAAAATAACATAAACTGAAGTTTTTTTGGTTTCTTTTCAGGCAAGAAAGAACATTGATAGGTTGCTGAGAGAGCTGATGCAAGAACGCAGAGATTCTGGAGAAACTTTCACAGATATGTTAGGTTACTTGATGAAGAAGGAAGATAACCGATACCCGTTAACCGATGAAGAAATAAGAGACCAAGTCGTCACGATTTTGTATTCGGGTTACGAAACTGTTTCAACGACTTCTATGATGGCTCTTAAGTACCTTCATGATCACCCTAAAGCTCTCCAAGAACTCAGAGTATGTAACCCTATGAGAAAAATAACATAACGTAAATTTACTATTCTCCGGTTTGGTTTATTTGATTTTTGGAAAATGCAGACAGAGCATATGGCTTTAAGGGAAAGAAAACGACCAGACGAACCACTCGGTCTTGAGGATGTGAAGTCAATGAAGTTCACTCGAGCTGTTAGTATCAAATATTAATGTTATTATTACTAGCAATAACTAGGCATTACTCGTTATCGTTTTGATTAATCATTACTAATTAATCTATATATTATTACAGGTTATTTTTGAGACATCAAGATTAGCAACGATCGTTAATGGGGTCCTAAGGAAAACTACTCGTGACTTGGAAATCAATGGTACCTATATACTTATATAAATTTTATAGTTTTATATTTTAGATTTATGAAAAAAAGTAGAGAAATAATGTGAGCATGTGGTGGACCTTAAGTATATCAATGATTTAGAGTGTATTATGAATACCAACCAAATCCAGCTATGAAAGCATCCTCTTTTGTGTGAGAGCCATCTTTGTGTACTTCACTTCCAATAATTTTGACAGAATATAAAAACCTTATTTTGTGTGTGTCTTTAATTGATTTTAGTATTCTGATCATGAATCTTTTTTTTAATAATTGAAGGTTATTTAATCCCTAAAGGATGGAGAATTTATGTGTACACGAGGGAGATTAACTATGATGCAAATCTTTATGAAGACCCATTGATCTTTAATCCATGGAGATGGATGGTAAGTATTTTAATTATGTCAAAATAATAACTAATTTTTTTTTTTTACAGTTTTATTTTTGTTTTAGTTTCTTTTTATATTATCAATGCAACCATATTACGATTTAACACTACAAATAAAACTTATTAACTCGAAAGAAAGTATTATAGCTAGTTTTAGTGAGGAAACAATCTTATGCAAAAACAAAAAAATATATATATACATGTATAAATATTATTTTGGAATTTGTTTTTTGAGTTTCTTTTTATATTAACAATGCACTATTTAAACTATGTTACGGTCTTCTTAACTAGAAAGAAAATAATACTATAAGTTTAGTGAGAAAACGATCTTATATTAGTGAAGTGTATAAACAAATTGATTATTTTTTTGAATATGTGTGAAATCTTTAAACGATACTTAATTTAAAATTTGAAGGACTAATAAATGTGGTTCTTGTGTTCCTATGTTTCTCTTCGATTTAAAAAGAGGGTTTTATTGATTTTTTTTTTTGAATGCAGAAGAAGAGCTTGGAGTCACAAAACTCATGCTTTGTGTTTGGTGGAGGTACAAGGCTTTGTCCTGGTAAGGAACTAGGGATTGTCGAGATCTCGAGCTTCCTCCATTACTTTGTTACAAGATACAAGTGAGTTCTTGATGATGATCTAGTTTTGTTTTTGTTTAAACTTTGAAGTAATTGTGGTTTGATTAATTTGAGATCAACTCTTTGTTATGAATTGATAATAATGGCAGATGGGAGGAAGTAGGAGGGGATGAATTATTGGTATTTCCAAGAGTTTTTGCACCAAAAGGCTTCCACCTTAAGATTTCACCCTACTAATTTTATAACATTTTTATATGTAAATAACCCCTAGAAAAATAATTATAGAAGAAGCATATGAAGACATAAGAAGATATTCTATATTCGTTTTGCTCTATATTTTGACCCATAATTTTTTTTTTCTCATTTAAGATTTTTGTGGTCATATGTACATAACCATAATAAGAAGCTTAATGTTATTAGATTTTTATTTGTCTATCTGAACTATTCCTTTGATAAGTCTCAACAACCTATGTTTTTGTGGGTAATAACATAAAATTATGATGAACGCATAATGACCAACATAATATAACGTTATTGATGAACGCATGATACATGAACATACAAAGGTAGGAAAAAAATGAAACCAATACATTAGAAGCACACTATCTTAATTCATCACTTCACTATCCAATTTTTTTCTGTAGATCCATGATTACTTTAGGATCCAACTGAAACGACTTTGCAAGGACATTAGGGTCTATTGGTGGACTAGACCAAAACAAGGTGTTACTAATTACTATCACACCAGGGTTTTGGCTGTTCAAAGCAGCCAATGCAACTGCTGGTTGCTTCCCGATGTTCACTTGGAAATGAATGAGTCCCTCTGGAAACACAAACACATCACCTTTGTTGAGCGTTTTGTTAAAAAGGCGATTATCCGGGGATGAGGAGAAAAATCCAACCAAAAGAGTGCCTTCTTGGACAAGCAAGATCTCGGTAGCTCGTGGATGCGTGTGAGGCGGGTTTTGTCCATTAACTCCATAATCAATACGAACAAGTGAGATTCCAAGAGTGTTTAACCCTGGAATCTGATCAACATTCACGGTTGTCACGTTAGAACCAACAGGACTAGATTCAGTACTTCTTGATTTGTCAAGTCCTGAGAGCTTCGGGTCCTTACAGAACTTTCCATTCACAAACACTGTAGAATATAATGACCAAATAAAAACATTATATAAGAATTAAGTGATCAGTAAAAGAAGAGCCTAAGAAAGATTTACATACGAGCATTTGATGGGTTATTGACACCGATACAAAAGTCTTGAAGGGGGCTTGGGTCCGAAGCAATGGCTAATGGAAGTGTTAAAGCCAAGAGAGATAGGATTGCAAGAGATGAGAGATTCTTCATGTTCATATTAAGTTAAGTGATTCTTTTGGACGTAAGAAATAGTTTGTAACATACTGCTGAACTCATTAATATCATATTTATATGATATTAAAAGGGAGATTTTTCCATCTTCAGTGACACTTTTTATACAAAATATATAGTTTCAAATAATGTAGACAAGAAAATTAATTAGAAATTTGGCTTTTAATTAATTGTTGAAGGAAAAACCAATACAAATTAAAAATTATATCCTAAACTAAAATAAAAGTACATCTTCCCTTAATTAAAAAGCAAAATGAGATCTGTTGAAATATATTAATTTAAAGAAAAGCGAAATGAGATATTTCAATATAGAGTGCTAGTTCATCTTTTTGTTTTTGATAATTAATTTGTAATTTATCACCATTTTTTTTCTTTTTAACTATCATTTGTCTTTAAATTATATATGAACCTATATTTGATTTATAATTAAAGTATGGTAAACTATACATTAATTTCACTATGGCCAAATATACATTTTAAAATATAAAGTTAGTTTTTATTTATTTGATAAAATAAAAATGAGCAAAGTATTTTCTCTATTTATAAGTAATGAAAAGTTTCTAATATTGATTGGGATCTCTGACCATGAAATTCTTGAAGTTTATGGAAGAATGCTAGCTATTATATCAGATACAAAAGGACATGTAATTAACTTAGAAATATGTTGTATGATAAATTGATAATCTACCTTTTCATTTAGTTAAGTCTGAAATAATTAAGAAATTTGTTAAACCGTGTTCCCTCAACGCACTATGTATATGGTTGTAATATATTAATCGGACTAAGTACAATAAGAAATTATAAGAAATGTTTTAATTTCAAATGAAAAAAGTGATCCAGTTGACGTTTGAATTGGCAAGTTTTGACAAGTTACAAAAAATATTTGTGATAATTTGATGATTATATTTCTCATCAACTTGTCATGAATTTAGACGTGCTGATTTTGATAATATTTCATTTGCACATGCATCTGAGTTTGACTCGACCATTGTCAATATGAAACTTTGTTGTTTGGTTTGATTGTTTCGTTAAGTGACTAAGCACGACCACATCAACTTACATGTATGTACTATGTACTATGCAGTATGCACTATCTATCTATGTTAACAAAATTTAATAAAATTCCTCTAGCTAGTGTATTATTTATTTATTTATTTATATTTTGTAAGTTATTGTCACATAAATTCCAATCGATTGAGATGTGTTTCATCCGTAACATATCGTAGGCTTGACTTCGATCTCATCATGCTCATCATTTTTTTTCTCTTTTTCTTTCCATACATATAAGTTTGAATATGAGAGAAAGTTACAAAAATAACATAAACCTGCTCTGCTGCTCAAAGCTAATATTTTTTTTTTGCTAAATTGTAAATATTTCGTGTTAATAATGAAAATGGTTTACGTTACAATTCAAGGAACTGAAACGTATATATATGGTTTCATGGCAAAAATGAATAAAAACATGAAAGTATAAGACGGTAATTAAACCAAATTTTCGGTCCATCTACTCAACCAAGCCAAAAAGCTTTGGGAACAAGATGAAACGATGACGTTTATGATGTCCTTCCCGGATGAGTTGCAAAAAGAGAAGGGCGAAGCAAATTGTAACACACCTTAATACGACCAGTGACTAGTTATAGAAACCTTTTGCATGAGGTCCGAGACTGAGCCGTCAACAGTAATACTCCAATCATCGATCACAAACTCAAAGCTAATATGTTTGTAACAAAACTTTCATACTAAATGAATTTTCATTTCATCGTAATCATGATTATCTTTTATTTTATATAACTATTCGATGAACATAACAATTTCTTTGTAAAAGAAAACTTTGTCACAAAAGAAATATTTATCGTAAATGTCAAGAGTGACGTTACATAATTTTTAGAAGAAAAAAAAAACATTGATTATTTAGAATTTGATCCACGTAAAAAGCAAGACATTATGTCATGACGATACAAGATCCTTATTTAGAAAGAAGTACATCAAATGAAAAAAAATCATCAAATTACAATATTATTATTTCTTGAACTTGCCCTGTAGATCCATGACAATCTTAGGATTCAACTGGAACGCCCTAGCAAGAATACTTGGGTTGATGGCTGGGTTAGACCCAAACACAGTGTTAGCAATAGTGATAACACCAGGGTTCTGGCTGCTTAGTGCTGCAAATGCAACCGCTGGTGAATGACCAACGTTTGCTTGGAAATGAATGAGTCCTTCTGGAAACACAAAGACATCACCAGCATAGAGTGTTTTAGTGATGAGACGGTTCTCAGGGTTTGATGTTACAAAACCAACTTGAAGTGTTCCTCCCGCGACCATCAAGATCTCGGTGGCACGTGGGTGGGTGTGAGGTGGGTTTTGTCCATTAACAGCATAGTCGATACGGACTATGGAGATTCCAAGGGTGTTTAGTCCTAGGAGGTTGTTAACATTGACGGCTGTAACGGTCGAACCAACAGGACTAGTTACAGGTCTTGGGACGTGAAGCCCTGAGAAGAAGAAGTCATCTTCTGTGACTAGCTTTGGGTCTTTGCAGAACTTCCCATTAACAAACACTGACATAGTTACCAAAAACAAAGAGAGTCGTTAAGAAATGAGAAAATGATATTTACATTCTTAGCAAAAAATAAAACAATACAAAAAAAACTAGTAAATAATTAGCGTCTTAGTATTTGTGGCTAAAGCATTGTAGCTTAAATAATCTGTGACTTTTTTTTGGCTAAATCGCCTTATAAGCATGAATATTAAGGCACATCGAACATAAAGGTGGCTATAGAGATTTTTTTACTAGTGAATGAGAGTAAATAAAGATTAGGAAGTAGTATTAATCATGTACGTACCACCATTTATGGAGCTGTTGGCGCTGACACAAAAGTCTTGAAGAGAGCTTGGATCAGAAGCAATGGCTAATGGAAGTGTTATAGCCAAGAGAGATAGAACTGCGAGAAATGAGAGAGTCTTTATCGCCATGTAAGAAAATTCTTTGAAGAGAGGTTTATGGTTTTTGTTTCTTGAATTAGATTGTAGTGAAGAGGTAAGAAACTTGTGAGACATTTAAACCTCAATATATAGATGAGTTTACGCGTTGAACTAGTCCATCATCATACACTTGCAAATCCAAGAAATTAGATAATGAATTTGATATTTTGAATTGGTTTAAGTATTGTATCTACATTTTCTTTTGAGTATCTACAATAGATAGTTTGTGGTATGATAAATTGATAATCTACCGTTTCAGGGAAGAATGCTAGCTATTATATCAGATACAAAAGGACATGTAATTAAGTTAGAAATATGTTGTATGATAAATTGATAATCTACCCTTTCATTTAGTTAAGTCTTAAAATTAAGAAGTTTGTTAAACCGTGTTCCCTCAACGCACCATGTATATGGTTGTAATATATTAATGATCGGACTAAATACAATAAGAAATTATAAGAGATGTCTTAATTTCAAATGAAAAAAGTGATCCAGTTGACGTTTGAAATGGCAAGTTTTGACAAGTTACACAACAATATTTGTGTTAATTAATTTGATGATTATATTTCTCATCAACTTGTCATGAATTTAGACGTGCTGATTTTGATAATATTTCATTTGCACATGCATCTGAGTTTGAGTCGACCATTGTCAATATGAAACTTTGTTGTTTGGTTTGATTGTTTCGTTAAATGAGTAAGCACGACCACATCAACTTACATGTATGTACTATGTACTATCTATCTATGTTAACAAAATTTAACAAAATTCCTCTAGCTAGTGTATTATTTGTTTATTTATATTTTGTAAGTAATTGTCACATAAATTCCAATCGATTGAGATGTATGTGTTTCACCCGTAACATCGTAGGCTTGACTTCGATCTCATGCTCATCATTTTTTTTTTCTCTTTTTCTTTCCATACATATAAGTTTGAAAATGAGAGAAAGTTACATAAATAACATAAACCTGCTCTGCTGCTCAAAGCTAATATGTTTGTAACAAAACTTTCATACTAAATGAATTTTCATTTCATCGTAATCATGATTATCAATATATTTGTAACTGGACTCTATATAACTATTCGATGGACATAAACAATATATTTGTAAAAGAAAACTTTGTCACAAAATAAATAGGGAAATTACTCATAATAACTTAGATAAGTTGGGATATTACTCTAATAACTTAGCTGAATTTGGGCTTACTAAAACAACACAGAATAGTTTGCCTTTTACTTGTAAACCATGGGTAGACCTTTAATCTACGATTGTGCCATTAAAAAAAAATCGTTTTTGAAAGCTGAGCGTTAAGGTGTTTGAAAGCTGAGCGTAAATGTTTTTGATTTTCAATTGGGAGAACACAATCGGTGGAGAAAACAATCGAAGGATTACGGTTTGGCTTAGTCGCTTGAAGAAGCTCACCGCTGGCTTAGTGACCGCCGGCATAGGCCGTGGGTTGGTTGCAAAGGAGTCAGAGGTTGAACAGTAAGTTACCGGCGGAGGTTCGGGTATCCCTTTATATAATATTTTATGTTGTATGGCGTCTAGTTGCAGAGGTTGAATTTCTTCTTTTAGCGAGTATTTCTGTTTATGGTAAATGAATTTGTTCCATGGTTTATTGAAGTGTTCTCTGTTCTAGAATCAAAGAATAGCATAGTTCTCTGTTCAAAGCATAGCATAGTTTGATGTTGTCTCTCTTATTGTATCTTTGTGTGTCGTTTTTCGATCTTTATGTAATTGTTTATGGCAAAGCAAATAGAGTTTTGGTGTTGGGCGAGTGTCTGTAATTGTTGAAGAGAAAAAGTGAATTTGTTATTTGATTTAATTTGCAGAGGGATGGAGGTGAAAGAGAGGAGGTATCCAAGGAGATTATATCCGGAAGGGAAGTCACCTATACAAAAAAGAAGCATGAATCATAAGTGTAGTTTGTCAAATTTCGGGATGATGAAGGATTATGTTGGTCATGAAGTTTATCTTGAAATAGCCAATAATTCTCAAGTTGGATTGTATCTGAAGCTTGCTGACAGTGACTACGTTTGGTGTTCGAAAACTGTTCACTAACTTCTCACCAATCAATTAGCAATAGGCTTGAAAACTGAGGTATGGTGCGTGCTTGAGGGAAATCCGTTGAGGTTCTCATTGAATGAATATGCAGAGATAACATGGATGAACTGTGATGAAATTGATCTCGGTGGTGAGTGTGTGGAGGAGCAGAGTGTGGAGGAGCAGAGTGAATTATGGGCTGCACTAGAACTGGATTCAGGTCTTGGACCAAACTAGAATGAGCTAGCAGCAGGGTTGAGAAAATGCAGAACATGGAGTGCTAAGTTGAGGATAATGATTGCAAGGGTATTTATTGTTCATGTTGGAGTACTAGGAATAGCAAAGAATAGTAGGATTTCCTATGAATATGCGAAGAAGGTGTTGAATGATGCTTCTTTTGAGAGTTCTCAATGGGGTAGGATAGGATTCAAGTCATTAGTGGAGTCCATAAAAACTGTCAGTTTTCAGAACGAATCATATACTCTCAATGGTTGTGTTCATGTTTTGCTTATATGGGCATATGAGAGTATTAAAGTGTTGGGATCAACTTATGGGAATCGAAGAGAGGTATCAAATATACTGTTTCTTAGTTGGAGAGGAGGGAGGCCTCAGAAAGAAGTTAAAGCTTTGTTAGCTGGGAACAAATTGATGAACAATGGAAAGGTAGTAGTACACTGTAAAATGGTGATCCCAAGCTTTAAATTTCTGAAATGATAAAGTTGAGTACAATAACCCTAATGAGAACATCTTTTTGATTTTCAAATGTAGCTTCAAGTGAAGCATCTAGTAGCAAAACCTCTTGAAGCGATATATCCAGAATGGTCCTCACAAAAATCAGTATACGGTGAAGGGGAAGGTGACAAACAGAAATTTGATAATCTATTATATGATATCATTCATGGATCAGTTGACGAAAGTCAATGGGATGATGTCAACAATAATCTGGTTTTACTAAAAAGAGAGAAGAGGGAAAGTGATGATGATTTTGTTGAGGCTATACCGTTTGCCAGTGGTAAGAAAAAAGTAAAAATATGCAAGAACTCCCATGAAACCAACGACCTTGGTCACTGTGGAGGATAGATATGCGAATGGTAGACTGCAATTGATGATTGAATAGTTGGGGCAAAAACTTGTACAGTTGGAGTCATCATTCTGTAATTCACTCGGCTTAATAGACATGACAATTGAAGGATTGTCGGGTCAAATAGAGACACTGGAGAGTGATGTGAAATTGTTAAAGAAAGTAGTTAGCAAAGACATGGATGAGGAGTCAAACATTGGTGATGCAAAAAATGAGGTATGTTGTCCTGAACTTGTTATAAGACTTATCTGTGTATTTATAACAGAAGTTAAAATGTTTGTATTATTAAAGATGAGAGTAAATTGGTTTTGTATGCAGACTTTTGGCAATGGTTATATGGGAGAGAATAGCTAGAATGCAGATGTGGGTAAGGGGCATGTACTATGCAATAAGTGTAGTGAAGGAATATTTATCGTAAATGTCAATAGTGACGTTACATAATATTTAGAAGAAAAAAAAACATGATTATTTAGAATTTGATCCACGTAAAAAGCAAGATGTCATGATACAAGATCCTTATTTAGACAGAAGTACATCAAATGAAAAAAAACCCATCAAATTACAATATTATTATTTCTTGAACTTGCCCTGTAGATCCATGACAATCCTAGGATCCAACTGGAACGCCCTTGCAAGAATACTTGGGTTGATGGCTGGGTTAGACCCAAACACAGTGTTAGCAATAGTGATAACACCAGGGTTCTGGCTGCTTAGTGCTGCAAATGCAACCGCTGGTGAATGACCAACGTTTGCTTGGAAATGAATGAGTCCTTCTGGAAACACAAAGACATCACCAACATAGAGTGTTTTAGTGATGAGACGGTTCTCAGGGTTTGATGTTACAAAACCAACTTGAAGTGTTCCTTCAGCAACAATCAAGATCTCGGTGGCACGTGGATGGGTGTGAGGTGGATTTTGTCCGTTAACAGCATAGTCGATACGAACAATAGAGATGCCAAGGGTGTTTAGTCCTAGGAGGTTGTTAACGTTGACGGCTGTAACGGTTGAACCAACAGGACTAGTTACAGGTCTTGGGAGGTGAAGCCCTGAGAAGAAGAAGTCATCTTCTGTGACTAGCTTTGGGTCTTTGCAGAACTTCCCGTTAACAAAAACTGAACATAGTTACCAAAAACAAAGAGAGTTGTTAAGAAATGAGAAAATGGTATTTACAATCTTAGCAAAAAAAAAACAATGTAAAAAATACTAGTAAATAATTCGCACTTTAATATTCGTGGTCTCTTTTTGGCTAAATCGCCTTATAACTACGAATATTAAGGCGTCTCGAACATAAAAGTGGCTGTAGAGATTTTTTTACTAGTGAACAAGAGTAAACAAATATTAGGAAGTAGTACTAATCATGTACGTACCACCATTTATGGAGCTGTTGGTGCTGACACAAAAGTCTTGAAGAGAGCTTGGATCAGAAGCAATGGCTAAAGGAAGTGTTATAGCCAAGAGAGATAGAACTGCGAGAATTGCGAGAGTCTTTATCGCCATGTAAGTAAGTTTTCGAAGAGAGGTTTATGGGTTTTTTTTTCTTGAATTAGATTGTAATGAAGAGGTAAGAAACTTGTGAGACATATAAACCTCAATATATAGATGAGTTTACGCGTTGAACTAGTCCATCATCATACACTTGCAAATCCAAGAAATTAGATAATGAATTTGATATTTTGAATTGGTTTAAGTATTGTATCTACATTTTCTTTCCTCTACGATAGTTTTGTTTGTGGTGGTATTATTTAAATTCCACAATATTAGAATATTCATGCTAAACTATGTATATATCTCCAACGAACCATGATGCACTTGAAGTTTGAAATGGCAAGTGTTAGCGATATATATATATATATATATATATATATATAGTTCAACAAATTATAATGTTTAAAGATTGAATTTGTTGAATGATTCTTCTCGCAATTTGTTAATCTTATATAGTTTTGTTTAATTTCTCTAGATAAGAAGACCTGACTGTATCAACCAATTGTATATATAATGCTTAGGTGAATCGGAGTAAAACCGAGTTATTTACTTTGACTTTCTTCTTTCTTGAATTTGTAAATAAAGATTCTTTTAAATATAATCTACTTAGCACGAATTAGGAGAAAAAAATGAGAAATGGATATAAAGATCATGCATGGAAATAATCATGATGCTAAAGGATATACCATATGCTAACTTCAAACATGATTTAATCATGACCACAATATGACAACAACATTACTTGTTGAGTGGTTTTAGACATCAACAAACTCAATTTGGTTTCTCTACTTAATGTTTCTTAAAAATTGGAAAATATGGAGGGAAGACCAAATGAGACAAATACATATGTCTCATCCTCAAGAATGACTGGTCACCGCAAATGATAAGTGTGATGTCCTCTAATTAAGTTTTAGTATTGTTGAATAAAAGAATTATTTAGAAAATTTATGTTTGAAGTTTAGAAAATTTCTTCCAAGATTAATCTTCTAGACCCGATCAACATTTGCAACTCGAGGGTTAATATATATTAGATAATACTCTTACCACGTTTGAGATGTTTTATGGACTCTATCTACGCTAATTATTTTTGCAAAAATTTACTAATGAATAATAAAATAGATGGTAAGTAAGTCTACGTTTAGGGTTTGGCGTTTGAGTATTAAGGTTAATTGCCATTCGATTTTTTATAGACTTTACGTAACTAATCTTGCAAAAATTAACTCATGAATAATAGATATAAGTAGCCATGTAACGGCTCTGACCACCATCTTTCGAGTGGGCCATATGTTCATTATCAGCCTATGAAACCACCTCTCTTAATAGGTTTTACGTCCTCTCACTAAGCCCGTAAGCCCATCATTATCTAACGGTCGGTTTGCTACGTTTAGAAGACTTAAATACTTGTTTACCGATCCTACAATTCACCACATGATCTTTCCCTGTGTTTTAGCCTCACTCACACAGTTCCAACAACCACTTCCCGGAAGGTCACCCATCGTCTGAATACTCCAGCATAAGCACGCTTAACTGTGGAGTTCTCTCAAGACCTTTGACCGAAAAGATAAGTGCACTTTGGTGACATAGGTGGCCAAATCAATTTATTTTAAACCTCTCCGCAATCGGAGTCTCACAAAAGCCTATGCTTAGGGTTTGGCGTTTGGGTGTTCAAGTCAATTCCGATTTGATGTTTCATAGACTCTATATGCAGCAAAATAATCTTGCCAAAATTAATTCATGAGTAATGAAATGGATGTAAGTAAGCCTATGTTTAGGGTTTGGCGTTTGGGTATTGATCAGGTCAATTCTGATTCAATGTTTCATGGACTCTATATCAGCGCCGACTAATCTTGCAAAAATAAATTCATGAGTAATGAAATGGATGTAAGTAAGCCTTTAGGGTTTGGTATTTGGGTATTGATAAGGTCAATTATGATTCAATGTTTCATGGACTCTATATTAGCGCCAACTAATCTTGCAAAAATTAATTCATGAGTAATGAAATGGATGTAAGTAAGCCTTTAGGGTTTGGTATTTGGGTATTGATGAAGTCAATTATGATTCAATGTTTCATGGACTCTATATTAGCGCCAACTAATCTTGCAAAAATTAATTCATGAGTAATGAAATGGTTGTAAGTAAGCCATTAGGGTTTGGCGTTTAGGTATTGAGGTTAATTCTGATTCGATAGTTTATGGACTTTATATGCGCCAACTAATCTTGCAAAATTTACTTTACTGAAATGGATGTAAATAAACCTATGTTTAGGGTTTGATGTTTGGGTATTCAAGTCAATTCCGATTCGATGTTTCATGGACTCTATCAGAGCCCATCATAAAATGGATATAAATAATTAGGCCTATGTTTAGGATTTGCGTTAGGGGTATTCAAATCAGTTCTGATTCGATTCTACTCAATTCTGTTTTTGATATTTAAGTTTAAGATCTATATAGGTACCATAAAAACTATGTACGGTTTCAGTAATTTCAATTCTCGAGTTAGATAATACATAAGGCATAAATTGATAATACACTAGATGACATTAGGTATTAGCTCGAAAGAGTCTGTCAATTCTCTCATGCATACGTTATTAAAACCATTAGAGATAGAGACAATTCATATACTTTTGGCAAATGTGGTTCCATAATTTGTTGTAACAAAAAATCGTAGCACGATCAATTAGTAACATAATTTAGTGGTCGAATATACATTAATCACACAATATACTACCTGGTAGACTTTAATACTTTTGGATAATTTACTAATTTTGTTTAAGAAAAACTCCATAAAAAATAGAATCATTTTCATGAATTTCCAAAATGACATCTAATATACGAATATATCTTTTTTTTCTCGGCATATACGAATATAACTTTTACATACATTGTTGACGAAAATATATACATATATATTTTCCACAAAAAAATAATATATTTTCCAAACATGAATATTAATTTATTAATAGTTTGATCAAGGTAAAAGCAATGTGAACATCTATACTACTAAAAGGGGAGCACTTTTTGTAAGTGTTGCCAAACAGAATTAAAAATAAGAAATGAAATAAAATATAATCTCAACCATGTAGCCAAACAGAATTAAAGACAGCAAAAAAAATAATAATAATAATAATAATAACAATCTATATTATGGAAATAATATAGATTTGGTTACCATAAAATTAGACAACTAAATTCGAAATTAAAAATATTCATCTAAATTATATATTTTTATGATATTTTTAAAAACAGTAATTTATGTTTATAAAATTTAATAAAAATTTATCATATGTTTTAGAAAATGATATTTTAGGAAAAATAAAAAGAAAAAGAAATATGTAATCTTAAAAAATAATTACATTTTATGTAAACTTACAAGTTATATAATCTTAAAAACTAATTGAATTTTACGTAAACCCAAATTTGTAGTCAAATACCCTTAAAATACATATATCCAATATTGTTTTTAAGAAATTCGGATTTTTAAATTGTCAAAATCTTCTGTTTAGATCTTCCCAACTAATTTTCTGCAGGTTATTTTTAAAAAATAATCAATATAACTAAAATCTTTTTAAAAAAATCTTAATCTTCAATAATTAGAACATATTATATAACAGCTCAATCAATAAAATACTAACTATATTTGAGTTCGTTTAAATATTTAGCAATATAAAACTTCAGAATATGAATCTTATATACAAGTTTAAATGTACTAACCATAATTTGAATTGTTTATATAAAAATTAATTAATTATGTCTACTTATCAAATGTGCACACAATAATAATTATCATCACCTAAAATATAGATATCTATACTATTAAAGCTGAAGTACACAATGAATTTACACTATAGTTTCAAAATGAAATTTTTATCAATTCTAAATGGGTAAACACGCGGATCTAACTAAATAATCGGATATGTTAATCGGGTTTAAAATTTTTAATCACATCCGTTTATCACAGAAATGAATAACACGCGGATCTAACTAATCATTCGGATCTATTACTCGGGTTTAATATGTTTAATCACATTCGTTAATTATTATGCTTTAATCTCATTCGTTCATTGTTTATACGACAATTAGCATAAGATACAATTAACATGAAATCCCATCCGTTAATTTACAAGTTTTAATCTCATTCGTTCATTGTTTATACGAATGAGAAAAATAAGATACAATTAATATTAAATCACATCCGTTAATTCACAAGTTTTAATCTCATTTGTTCATTGTTTATACGAATCAGAAAAATAAGATACAATTAACATGAAATCACATCCCTTAATTAACAACTTTTAATCTCATTCGTATATTGTTTATACGAATCAGAAAAATAAGATACAATTAACATGAAATCACATCCCTTAATTAACAACTTTTAATCTCATTCGTATATTGTTTATACGAATGAGAAAAACAATGAGCAATTAACATGAAATCACATCCGTTAATTCACAAGTTTTAATCTCATTCGTTCATTCTTAGCATTAATTAAATAGCTTGATCCGCAAGCTCAATGTCCTCAAATTGCGTTCAATAACTTCAATTTGCGTTGTTTATTCGGAAATTTTTATATTTGAAATCTAATAACATCTTACCTAAATTACAAATTATAATTTATCATCATCCCATCAAGTTAGGTAACTATAGTCATCAAATATTACCTAAAATATTGGAGAATTGATCTTAGCCCTTAGTTTCTACTAAACAAATCACAATCGTTAATTTCAAAAAAATGATTAGATATTCTAACCACAATCATCCTCGAATGAATATTGCTTCTAGAGTATATTCTGCTAATTATACTCTCAAAATAATTAAAATTACCATAATGCAAGTAATTTCCATTTAAAAAACTAATAATTTACAACTCTATAAATTTGTTTCTACGATTACTTTTCAATCATATTCTTCTCCCAACCTAAAAAACCCTACTCGGCAAAAATGTCTATGGCTCTTCCCCTCTCATTCACACCACTCAAAGATTTGAAACCTTACAAAAACTCATGGCGTATTGAAGTCAAAATTCTTCATAGTTGGAGAATGTTTTC